AGGGACACCATCTCTGCCAAGACTTTTTTTTTTTTCCTGAATGTGTTTTACGGTGAGGAATAACTGAGTGCTTTTGCCAACACATGGGCTCTGCTTGCTTTTATTCTTTCCAGACAGCTTTGCTTTCCAGAGCTGCCTCTTTTATTTTGAAGCTCTTCGAGAGCAGCGAGGAGGTGAAGGCCGAGCTGTGAGCCGATATCCTGGACTGGCACTGGGCTCCGAGGAGGCATGCTAAGAAAATGATCCGACCCTTTCCATCGCTGACCCCACACAACGCCTCCACTCCCCCCAGCACGACCTCTGCGCAGAGCTCTGTCCGCATTCCCCGCCCCGTGGCCCCCGGCAGCCCTAAGATGGAGCGGACGGCGGCCGCCCGGCGGGACTACAGGTTCCAGCGTGCAATTCTCTGCCGAAGCTGGGCTGCCTGCGGGGACGAGTGCAGGAGAGTGGGCTGCATTGCAGGGCTCTGGGTTTCAGGCAGGCAGGGGAAAAAGGGAAAACAAATGCCGGGGCAATTTCCACTCGGTATTTTTAGCCTTCGATCTCTTGTTTATTTCCTCCAGCTTGTGTGTCTGGAGGCCTTAATAAGTCTGCAAGAGGAGCTTGAAAGGTCACCAGCGAAGCTGCTGGGGAATGATTTTGCTCTGCGCTTTGTGCCGCACAGAACCTCTGCTCCATCGCACACGGCCTTTGTTCCTCCACCGGGTCCTCCAGAGCAGAGCTCACCTACTTAGTGACGGTTTTGCACGTTTTCCTTTAGTTGTTTCTGTACCCTTTGGTTCAAGCAGGTGCATCTTGTTGCAGAGGGGTGAAGGGCTGGCCCAAGGGCAGCGCTGGTGGTTCCCAAGGAAACAGTGCCTGTCCCGCTTTGCTCATTGTTTGCCGTGGGAGCCCTGGGAGGGACAGGAATGAGGAGAAAGCAGGGATATCACCTGCACGGAAAACCAGCCAAGCAATGCCTGAGCAAGCCTGCGTGGCCCCCGCATCCAGCCCCAGGCTTTACCTCAATTAAGGAAAAAATAGTTCCCTTGGCAGATTGGTGGGGGGGAAAAACACTGCAGAGGGTTTTCTTAATGTCAGGATGGGATTGTTTCCGTGCTGACTCCGAGCTCCTGCTTTGCTCTTGGCTGTGGGCTGTGGAGCAGAGAGGCTCCGCAGGCCTGCTGCTATTTTTGGCCGTGACAAGCTGGTGATGGGAGATGAGGGACGGTGAAAGCAAAGTGTAGGGAACATTCATTAGCAATTATCCCTGCCTGCAGCCTGATTGGGGTAGCTGCTGGGGACATCTGATAGCCACTTAATGTGTGTTCAAAGCACCAGCTCCAGAGAGAGGGCGGGTGCTGGCGAATTGGTGGCTGGCTTTTGCAGGAGCCCAGTGCAGCTCCCTCTTCCAGCTTGTGCTCAGATGCTCCATTTAACCTCGAGCTCTCTGTGCATTAAGCTGCCTGGAGACCTGCTTTTTTTTTCTTTTTTTTTCTTTCCTCCCTTCTCCCTGCTAATCTCTTCACAGCTAGGCTCTTACAAACCTGTTAGCAGCAAATTGAAGCCTGGCCAGAGTGCTTGCAGGGACGATGGGAGCTTACATCTGCTTGTGGCTGGGGTGAGCAAGGAGGGGAGGGCGGTGGTTGCGCTGACACAGCCATGCGCAGAGCATACGTGGGGTTTTGAAGCAGCAGTTGGCAAACTGTTTGCAGCCCACGGTGCCCACTGCCTTCCGAACAGCCATCTTGCAAGCCCGGTACGAGGTGGCAGAAGGGTTGGAAGGAGACCAAATTGTTTTTTTTTCACTGCAGTTACATTGTGCAACCCCTTTCTTCAGAGCTTTCTGGCTCGTCTGTGGACTTGGGGGTGGGTTTTTCCCTACTCAAGGGACAACCTGGCTTCCAGACTTACTTAGAGCTCGTTCCAGCCACCTTCTCTTAAATGCTGAATTGAGTCCTAACATAGGCAATGCTAAAGGCCCAGAGTACTAAGTCCCATCTTATTTACACCCCCAAGATTAAAATGATGAGTGCAGTTGGAACTGGGAGGGAACATTCCACCATCAGTCTCTCAGTTGGGTTGGATTTTTGGTCTCTGTCATTGAAGAAGTGTGGTTTGCCCTCTCTCTTCACTGTGGAGATTTATTTAAAGAATTAAAAAAAAAAAAAAAAAAGCTGTTGCAGGCCCTTTTTACTGGTCTCTCTGCTCTCCCTGGCACACTAGACCTGGTCTTTGGCCTTTTCCTACATTCTTGCATCTGCTGAAGTGCTGAAGGGCAGTGGTTGCAGTCTGTGGAGAATAGTAGTTGGGAGCAAATTTTTTCTCAGCATCATCAACTTATTGATTGTAGAGTGACTTGGCTGACCTCTTGCAGTCCAGAGCAGAAGCACTGACCTCTCTGTTGCTGGTCTAGAAAAGCTGCAGACAGTCGATAAAAACAGTAGGATGGAAATGCCATTGCCTTAGGGAAGTGTTTTAGGAGAGGTTATTGTTTGAGGAGGAAATTGGGTGGGAAGAATTGCATACAGCTGAACAGAAGGAGAACTTTCTCAGAGCGGCCAAGGATCGTAAATGTCATTAAAAGCCTTCCAAAGTGCCAATGGCACTTTGAGAAATGAGTTTTTTACTCATTAGGCACTTGGGCAACTGTGGAAAATTGAACAGAGACAAATGTGCTTCATGTCTTGATGCCTGTATCTGTGATCAGAACGTAAGTCAAGCAGGTCGCCACTGATAGGAGAGGCGTCTTTGGAGTGTGGCAGGTAGGAACTGGGTTCCTAGTGCTGAGCTAAGCTGCAGGAATAGCTGTGCTGTTCTCCCTCAGTGCTTTTCCTCAGTCCTGTTGATGACCAGACAAGGTAGCGTGTTGTTGCCTGCTGGTATGGTAGGTGGGTATCTGCGGTTCTTTTACATTGCTCATCCCCAACATGGTGATGGCATGCAGTGTTACGAGAGGGTGCTGGTGTAGGGAACTAATCAGCAACAGCAGCTAGGACAAGTGCACCGGGGAGAGGTTGTGCACTTGGTCCTGGTGATGTGTCTTCTGGCAAAAGATTATTTGACTGTAGCAGCCAGGAATATTCTGCCTTTGTTGTTCACCAGGATGGTGTGGGAGAATTTGGGGGTAGGTACAATAGGAAACCCAAAATAGTGTATTGGTGGGGGGCTCCTTCCTAGCATTCTGGGCTGAGATGCCAGAGGAAGGACTGAAGCTTTTAAAATGCAGGGCACAGACACTGCACAGATTTGGCAAGTGTTCAGAAATGTACCCTGGGAGAGGAGATGAAAGGCTGTGGTGTGGAAACGTAAACCCAAGCCACAGCTGTGGCCTCCATCTCGGCCTTGGGATTGGGTTAAGCTTTTCGAGCTGAAGATTTGATCCTGGCTTTGGGTGAGATCTGTCAGTGGAGAAACAAGCTTGGCTGCTCTTAATGCCTGGATGCCTGTTAGGGGATATTTCCTATTGTGGGGGCCTGTGAGATGTGCGAGAGGAGCGCTGTGGTGTTCAGATCCACCTAGGAGAGGTTTGGGAAGACTTTTGTGGTCTTGGACACACAACCTGAAGGAGCAGAGGCCAAACCACGTGTCATAAAGCAGGGACACATCGCTTCTGTCACAGACGGTTAGGATGGTGGCTTCGGCCCTGCAGCTCTATGGTGTGGTCTTCAGAGGCCCCGCTAGTGCGAGAGCTGCTGGGGAAGTCCAGTCCCTGGCTGTGGAAAGCCAAGCAGTCACCCGTACGATAGCAAGAGCAATAAAGCCGGGCTAGCATTTCGCACTCACCAGGCATTGGCTTGGGATATTTGTACTGGTGCTTTGTAACCTTCCAAGATCCTCCCTCCCTGCAGATGGGAAATGAAAATCCTTGGCATCAGCACAAAGTGGTGGAAGCAAGTCCACTAATGTGGCTTAGGAAAAAAAAAATAAAAGGAAGGAACTTGTCCAGCACCAGATCAGTGCAGCAGGGCATCTGCGGGCCTTGCAGATGAGCGTGGCTCTTTCTCTTCCAGCACAGGTGTTGCACAGTGCAGCTAATTGCACGTACATCTCTTGCTCAGCAAACGTGGCCCATGCTGTTGTAAAATGAGGGGGCTGGAAATGCTTTCCAGTTGATCCACTCCTGGTGTCAGGCTTCTGTAAATCTCCCCTAACTGCCGGCAGCGCTGCCAAACCCTGCTGTGATGCAGGAAAAGTGGGTTGCTCCCTGCTCCGCTCTCCGTGCCCAGCTGTTCAGGACACATCCAAACCCATCTTGGCAGATCGGCAAGAGAGGGAGAGCTTTTCAAACATTCCGCCTAGAAGTCATTTGTTAGGAACAAATGGGGGATTTGCCAGGACACACTGCTCCATCTGGTCTGGCATCCTGTCCCATGCATACAGCAGCCTCTCTGGATTTGCTTGAGGAAAGCAAGGGGGAAAAAGCATTTTTCTTGTGGAAGAGAAACTGCTTCCGCTGTGAGCTTGAACAGGCTTTCCTAGGCTTGAGCTCCTGTGCTGCCCTGTTCCTCCACTCTGTACACACCTGCCAGCACTAGGCCTGCAGCGAAGGATCTGAAGGGACCGTTGGTATTTACATTTTTTTTATTATAGTTCTGCATATCACTTTTGCACAGCAGTGAGGTTGAGCTGCATCCAGACAGCGTTTCCATGTGCTTCCCACACTGGGCATTATTTCTTTCCTTTTCACCGTTGTTAATGAGAGAAGCACTCTGTTTACACTCTACCTGTAAAATTCCCTGGTGCTTTCATCACAGTGAAATCTCTCAGTAGACTTTGAATTCCTGTCCCAGAGTGCCTGGCCCGGAGGAGCAGCCAGCTTCTTCAAGCCATCAACCTCACTTGACGCAAGCTGCGTAAGGGCACTGAGGCAGAGCTGTTTCTGTAAAACCCTGTTTTACACCTCCTCAGTAATGGTTTGCCTGGAAGCATTTCCTTTAGTGCTGCTCCTCACTGTAGAGATCTTTTCACACCCACTGCAGTTTGTCTGACTATTTTGTGCATGTGTCTGTGTTTCACAGTATCCGGATTTGAGCCAGGAATCTGGGTCTCCATTTGTCTTTATCTGCACTAATCCCCAGGAGATGGTTGTGAAGTTTCCCATCAAAGGAAAGCCCAAAATCTGTAAGTAGTAAAGTTTCCACAGATGCCCTCCTTGGCCTTTCTTGCCTGCTCTCCTCACCACCTCTGCTTGCCTTTGCCATATGAGTTCACAACCTTTGCCCTGCGCTCTTTGATCTATAGGTGTTTGTTTAATGATTCAAATACATCTGTAATATTTTTGTCTTTGGTTCCCCTTTCCCCAGATGTTGCTTCCTTCCAAATACATGCCTCTTCCTGCCTCTGCAAACACTTGGGAATCATGGTACTCATGTGCTCTGAGGAAACACATGTCTGCAGCTGATCTGCTTCTGGCATGAGTGCTTGCAGGCTGGGTTGGGATGTGAGGCAGGAATCATAGAATCGCAGAATGACCTGGCTTGGAAGGGACCATAACGCCCACCCAGTTATAACCCTCTGTCCCCCCCGCCAGATCAGGCTGCCCAGGGCCCCAACCAGCCTGGTCTTGAGCACCTCCGGCGATGGGGTCTCTTGGCAGCAGTGCTGGTGCTTCACTGCCCTCTGAGTAAAAAATTTCCTCCTAGCATCTAACCTAAATCTGCCCTCTTTTAGTTTAAAGCCATTCTCCTTTTCTGTCGCTATCTGCCTGTGTAAATGTCGTTCTCCCTCCTGTTTGTGAGCTCCCCTCCAGTGCTGGCAGGCCGCAGTGAGGTCTCCCCGCAGCC